AAATATTGTTATTCATCAGGGAAAAGAACAGAGGGCTGTGCAAGATAGCAGAACTGATAAAGGCAGTTGCCCCTCTCCTGCTTATCACGATTAAAGCTAACGTGATCACAGCTAATCTTCTAACAAAAGTGCCTTTCATTCTAAAATCACTATATCACACCCAGTGCCACATACCTCTGTTCTGGGAAAAGATCCTGAGCCTTTTTCCAGGAATCTGCCTTGTCACAGGAGGGACTAAGGAGCCAAGGATTTGAATTTCATCCATCAGCTTCATCAGTACCTAAAACACTTCTGAAAAAAAGATTTACATTCCCCAAACCTTCCTTAAGTAGCTCCCTTAAATATCCCTTGAAAACCTTAAATATCATCATCCCGAAGTTTTGCTCCTTAAAGCTTCTTTGTCTCCTTATTCTCCATTCTGCTCTTCCAAGTAGGGAGACAGGGGTATGGTCACTGAGTAAATGACTCAGTGCAGAAGAATAATCAACGAGGGGCTGAAAGCTGAAGCTGTACAAATTAAAATTAGAAACCAGGTGAATATTTTGTACTACTGACTAAAATATAGGGGCAAAGGAAATACTATAATCTCCATGTCTGTAATCTCCAAATTTTCAAGTTCAAGGCACATTCACCTTCCAGAAGCAATACTCTATTAGGCATTGGGCTTAAGAGAGGAATAGATTTAAGAGGAATTCTTAGGCTGAATTTTAAAAGTCTGTTTCATACAGGTTAGTCTAAGTGCTTTAGGGACTTAARCTGTAAGAATAAAATTTCTTCAGCAAATACAAGGTCCTACCATCCAGTAAAAATAAAATAAAATGTGTCAAGAGTGAACACGGAAAAAGCAGAACACTTTCTAAGCCTGAATTCTCTCAGTTCTTGCTGTTGATCAGTGAAAAGCAATTTTAATCTATGTTTCTTTATCTGCTCTCTGAGACATCTGTAACTCATAAGACTGCATACAAAAGCTCATATACAAAATACACTTACAGATTCAGCAAGAGTAAACAAACAAAAAAGAGGAAATAAGGCAAATTCTTAGCTGATTATAAATGAAAGTCACTGTGTCAATACTATATAAGATAGCTAGGGAATATTTTAAAATTAGATTGAATTATATTTTGATTAAGAATGGGGGATAGGTAGCATGTGGTTTGCAGTGACGAGATTTTATGGGGCTTTGCAAGAAGATGCCTATATGACTAAGAGCACATGCCACACTGTATATTTCCAGGAGTGCCTTGCAGGGATAGTCATACCCTAGTCACTGTCAGGGAATGGAAAAGACTTTTCAAATAGGAGAGAAACAGTGATAAAATAATAGACCTACACTTGATGCTGCTTATGCAAAGTCGAAGCAGCATCCTGGGAGCTATGCTGACCCTAACTTCATGACCTCACTGCAATTCACTTTCTTTTGCCTCTTTAATGAGTTATAATAGTTCCTGCCTCCTTTTAAAATGCTTCAGATCTGCTGATAAGAATGTGGTGTGAAAGTAGGTTCCTGTATGCAGTTAAAGGCACCAGAAAAAACCTGGCAAGAACAAGTGAGAAATAGAAGAAATATTTTAAACTAAGGATATAAAAAATATACATACAAATTTTCCAATTACAKGAAATTAACTCAATTACTCCAAAAATACCTCAGTTCCTTTTCTTTTTCATGCATATACATTACCCTCACAAAAGTGAAAACTAAATGAAGATTAATTTRGAAAGAACCCAAGTGACTAATTGATGTTGCTTGGACCTTGGCATTGCTGTTTCTGTATTCCTGGATATGTACATTAGATCAAGAATTTTACTACAGAATAATAATTAAGAGTGGAGTCTTTGTTAAATGGCACTTCTATAGCAAGATTTGTAAAAATATATATGTATATATATGTATAGCTCACAAGGATGTCTAGCAAAATGTTAAACTACTGTGCAGAATAGTTTAAAAATCTTCTTCAAAGCTGTGCTATCTCTCTGAATATCTACAAAAAATGTTCTAATAACATTTTGTGACAGATCTGCAGCTGTATATGTGACTGGCAATTCAGAGGACCCACCGTACAAGTAATTTGTGATGCACATTCTTATAATAGGGTGCTTTAAAGTACTTCAACTTRGAGAATAAAGTCTGCAGAGAAGTGGCCTGTCTGGACGTATTCCATGGCAGCTGAAATGAATTACAGCATTTCCAATGAAAGAAGTAACAAAGAAATAACAAAACCCTTTTAAAAGTTAGCACTTCTACCAGGTGGGAAGGATTGGAGTGGGCATAACTCCGGTGTATGAATTAKCAGCTCAAGTCATAGGGATAGGCACAAAGACAGTGGGAGCCAATAGAGGAGAGGKAACAGAGACTGGAGATAAAACAGAGTGCTGAACACACATCACAAAACAGCATCAGAAAAGCAATTATGAAAAAAAAAACTGCATTGAGAGATTTCTGAGCCATTTAAAGTCAAAAGTGTAAAGCACTGAGCTACCTGAAGCTGCAATGGAAAGCTTTTCCTGATAGGGTGTTTTTTCGTGGCTCTGTATTATTCTACAAAATGCATAGAAGAAGGAAACTGAGCCTCTGGGAAATGTGATTATTTTTGCATTTAATATGTATGATATACTTAATATATATTTATAGAAATATTAAGTATTTGTCTAATATATATGCAATATTAAGTATTTGTATAATATATATGCATATTATATACATATATATATTAAATCTCATAAAGTCATTTGAAATTATGTTATTCCATATCATACTGTTTGAATACACATTGAAAAGATTGAGAGACCTGCATTTAGAAGAATTTGCTGTTACTCCACTGATACGGAACAGTTGACTAGTTACTTTTTCCTAAAATGCAAGGATTATAAATACTCAATACTGTGGTATTTACTGATCAGGACAACATTTTGTCTTGGGAACTTCAAGATAAATACAGGATATGGCTGCATTCCGCATCAAAAATTTGTACAATTTATGCTGTCCTTTGTAACATAACTTGTCATACACTACACAATATTACAACTAAGAGCTGTGATAGGTCAATGGAGCTATGTCAATTTATATGATGCAAAATGCTCTTTGAGGTCCTGTGATAATGAAGGTATGTACACAGATGTGCAATCATACATATACCATCTTGTCTAGATACAAACAAAAAGAAATAAAACACACCTAGTCATAACGCAAGAGAAATGCAAAAGTCAGGAAACAGTCAGGGTTCCTGCTCAGTTAATTACCTTTAAATCCTTAAGAACAAAAGTGGATTGGAGACATCCTAAAGTATCCCACAGTGTGTAGACATCCTACCTTGCAAAATTCCTCATGAACCACGACTGCCCCATCCCTCTCTGACTTCTTATGTCATTGCACTTTTCCCTGGAGTGGTTAACAAATTCAAGAGTTTTATGGTTAGCTGCTGTTAGCAGCAAAAATAATAGTGTTATGTTTTTGAAGTACACATTTACTTGCACAACATACACAGGTTTCTGTTTTCCTGAGCTAAGCAAGACACTATTTCCTCCCTCCTGATTCAAAACTTTTTCTCAATTAGAGCACCCTCTGAAGAATATACTCCTTGTGTTCAATATGGTTGTGTCGCTTTGGGACTCTGGACCAGGGAGAAATAGGAAAGACACAGACTTYTAGAGAATGAAAATCTACATTTGCACCCATGTTTTGGGTACCCTAACCGTGGTCCGTAGTTGGATGGAAATTTCTGTTATGCTTTTATTATTATACTATTAAGCACAGCAGATGCTATCCCAGATTGCATGCCATACCAGAGGCTTCAACTATTATGAAATTTGTTAATACGTTTTCTAAAATACCTTGATTTTGGATCTCAGTTGCAGTGAGTTCCTTGTAATGAAGACCAGGAGACCATACAAGCAAGTAGATAAAGAGATGAAAGAAAAAGGTATTTTAGAAAATGTATTCCCCATTTAGAAAAGTCATTCCCCATTCAGGTTTTGATTCTTAAAATTTGATGCATGTGCCAAATCTGGATTTTCCAACAATTCAAATGGAAAGAATCTCTCCATATTAAAATGTCTGTTGAGACTGCAAGCTCTACATATACAGGAATATGTGTCCACTTCCCTCAGTTACTTAAGGATGAAAGAGCAGCCAATTTTCTCAGATATATAGACTCAATTAGCAAAATTTTCCCTYAAGAGGCTAACATACAGCACACTCTGTCTTGGGTTTTATAAATCTGCTTGATAAATTGATTTACTGCCTTTCAGAGATACAGTATTGATGCCACTCACCAAACGAGTGTCTCTGTTCTGACAGTGGTGAAGAGAACAGCTATGTAGATATGGAAACACTTTTAATGGAATACTCAATTAATAAAGGGATTGTACAGTAAAGCACCATAATAGCATTACTGTGTTCACGATCTGAAAGTATTTACATCCTTAGCCTCAGGTTACAGAGACTCGTTTATATAATACAAGATCTTTTCAGGATAAGGTGCTCTTGGACACCAAAATTTCCTTTAGTCTAAATGAGAGCTGCTGTGTAAATCTCAAAGTAACTAAAGGTCTTTTAGGAGTAGATACACTCCTGGGAGCCATAGTACGGGAGATAAAAGTGCTATACCTAGAAGTTTTAAAAGCACCATATCTCTGACTCATGGAAATTTATTCATGTCTTTCTGCATGCATACCATAACCCACACTCATGACCAGCACAGTCTTTATTCTAGAGCTTGTAATCAAGAGGATGATGCCACTGCCCTGGGAAAAAGTAGGTAATGACCGGCTCCTGGATATCAACGGATTATGAACATCCCACTACCACAAAGGAACAAATACTTGTTTTCTTCATGCCAGAGTGAAACATGTGGATTTGGGGAATTCAAAACAAATCTAATGCCTCCTGCTTATTGAATTTACAAACAAGATTCAGTGCTTTTTGGGTTGTTTGTTTGTTTGTTTGTTTGTTTTAATATAAGATGTTGATCTGAAAGAAATACTTGGTTATTTTTTTCTACCAGGGGAATATCTTGATGATTCCCAGAAATGTCAGTTGTGCGAAGTATCCTGTGAGAAATGCATTGGACCTGAGCGGGACAACTGCATCAGCTGTCCAAGTACAAGGTATGTTTCTTCCAGCTTAGACCATGTAGGTCTAAGGCCTTCTATCTGGGTCTGCAGAAGTGGCTGCCCAGTCTTGAGCAGTATCTGGCAGTCTCCTATGAAGAGGCAATCAATGAGTATGGCAAAGTCACGGCAAGAGAGCGAGAAAACAAGGGTCGTGTGAGAAAAACCAGTTGGTTACATAGCCAGTCAATATTTACCCAGATGATTTCTACAGATGTAGAAAATTTTCTTTAAATAAGAAATAGTATTTCCCTAATTGTAATCCTTTGTCACCCATTCAAAAGCATAATCCCTGGGGTCAAAGACGGTGAATTCACATGACAAGAGTACAGACTACCTACAGTTTAGCAGTGGAATTTGGTAGTGCAAATAAACACAAACAGTACTAAGGTACTTCTGGAGATTTTCATAGCACCTAAACATAGACCTGTTAGTTAAAAGGATAATTTTCCATTATCCTTTTAAATGGAAGTGAATGGAAGGAGAGAGAGACTCATCCAGAGGACATTGCAGATGACACATGCTTAGATGAGGTAGCTCCTGATGCAGGCACCTATTCCATTTAAATATATGTCTTAGAAATTTATTTAGCTTTATTTATCATTTTATCAATGATAATCAATTTATCAATCAATATTTATCAATATTTATCATCATCAATTTAACTTTATTCTCATGCCAAATATTCCACTCTGTTGCTCTGCACTGTACTGCAGCCAGTGGACATTTACACTGATATGAAGTCACATCAGGTCTCGTATGATGTTTTGCTGCACAGAAAAACCTTCTCCAAGTAGTCCCACAATTTACAATGCATGTGTCTGTGATAAGACATAAAAGACAACCCAGTGGAGTCCAAGAAAATTTATAGATTAGGAAACAATACTAATGTAAGATGTCCTTTAAGGTAAATTAATGCCATCAGAAATGGCGTTAGAAAAGGCGGAATTTTGGAATAAGGACTGAATTGCTGTGATTCAGAATTGCATTAAATTAGAGCTTGTTTCCTATTTTGTGACTTTCACCCAAAGATATCTGCAAAACTAAGAAGGTATATGGCTATGTAGCTAGAATACTATTAGACAAAACCATATATGTGTTTGCAGTAATGAGGCAAGATATCCACACATTTTTTCTGCTCTCTCTGCACATTGAGGAAAGCTATTAGGACAAGTCATATTAGGAGAGTCATTATTAAAAGAAATATTAATAAAGAGGAATCTCAACCAGAAGCTAAACAATAAATCCTTCCAATGATCATTACTTTTTATGTACTGGAAATAGACCTCAAATGACAAATTCTCCTAAATCTTGTAACTCTTCATAGTTTTAAATAGTGCCTACTGAAGGTTGTAATGAGTGGCTGTTAAATAAAGTGGACCACAATTCAGCAGAGGGACCTCCCTACAGGGCAACAGCTTTCTTCTTTGTAAAGAATAAAAAGATCTGGGGGGCATGTAGGTAGAGGAGGTTACTGAAAATCCCTATAAAGCAAAAACATTTCACAACCCCTGTTCTTCACAAGAATTCAGCACTAGGCACCACCTCCCATCATAGTAAACTTACTGTCTTTTTGAAAAGCCAAAATGCTATTGTCTGCTTTAAAAAAAAAAAAAAAAAAAAAAAAAGAGGAACTGTAGATTTTTGTCCAGCCAAAGAGTGATTTTCAGAAAATCCCTCTCCCTTTGTTTATTGTTTGAGCTGCACAGCTCAGCTGTAGGATCTGACCCGCTGGTGTCTGTCATTAGAGGCTCCAAAATGAAAAACAAGGAGAACGTACTTCACCTCTGAGCCACCTCTGTTTGTAAGGAGGGCTGCCGTTTCGGCGAGCACACATGATGGAGCACACTCATTCCAACAGGTCACACAAGCACAGCTCAGCTGCCTCCAGGACTTCTATCACGTTCTCCCATTTGCACAAAAACTGTCTGGTTTGGGCTGCAAGCCCCATGAAAAGCTGAATGAGGGTCTTAAACTTAGTGTAGAAATACCTGTACAAGGCACATTCTGCATCCTCAGGGTCCTGAGCTGTAACTTTGCTGGGTACCTCATACACCCACTCGTGTCTCTGTTTCTCTCCTGCAGCCTGCCCTTGGGCTCTGAAGACTTTTTATCAATTCCTAAATTGTCTTAGACACTGATTTGTTGCACTTGTTTCAGGAAGGCTGTTTGCAGGATAGCATATTCTTCCATCTTCACACTTCATAAGCCCCATCATTTCCAATCATGTTACATTTTAGATGGTTTCAAAGGCTATTTGACAAAATTAGTTTTAAACTTTGCAAATATTTTCCCACTTTTCTTTCAGAACAATGAGCATAGTAACCTAAATTTATGATATTGTAGGCATTCTTTAAGGACTCTGGCTGGAATGATGCACCATTTTAATATTACACAGTGCCTATTGTTCCCTAAGACAAAATATAATCTCGAAATCTGTACTACAATCTTGTCTCAGTCTTGAAAATTGAATCCCAAATCCTCTGGTACCAAAAGATTTGAAGCACAAAAGCAGTTGAATAGGAGATGACAGTCTCTTGATTCTTATTTTCCTATTTTCTTGCGAAATATTCAATACATTTTCAAATTTTACTCAACTTGTTTTATATTACTTTAATTGTCTTAGTGTTATTGAAGCATTTCTCCATTTTCTCCAAGCAGATTAAGATTTTCAACACATATAAAGATTCTGTAGAAGATAACTTCATTACTCAGAGAAAAAAAAAAAGAAAATATTTAGCAGCAAAACAGCTAAGTATTTTCAGAGATGCAAGTCTGAAGAGACGGCTCCTAAAGGCTTAAGTCCTGCCAAGATTCAGATGGATGTTTGACTTCATGTACAAAGTCATTTCAGTGAAGTCATTGTTCAGCTCAAAGCAAGTCTTTATAGCAAAACTAATAGAAAACTTCAACAGATGGATAGTTCTTTCACAGAGTAAGACCTCTCCTTGCTCTCTTTCTAACAGACACAAGGGAACCCTTCAGAGGTTGTGGTATAAGGACATTTAGATACAGGACCAGAAGTTGATTTTTTTTTTTCTGGCAAAATAAACCTGTTCATCTCTGAAATCTAAGATAGAGCTTCAAAACATAGTTGACCTTTCACTTCATCTTAGTAAATTCAATAAAATCAGAGAAATTAAGGAGGTAAAGTGCAAAAACTCTAGCAAACAGAATGAAGGAAGGATATCTTGTTTTCTTGTTAGTTTGCTTCTAATTTAAAGAGCAAGATGTTGCTGAATATGCAATTCTGCCTCTCTCTGCCCCAAAAAGAGCCTTTGATGATGGTCGCTGTGTTATACAATGCCCCAGAGGAAAGTTTGAGATTAAAGGACAGTGCCATTTGTGCCATCACACCTGCCTGGATTGCAATGGGAGTGAACCTAACAAATGCACTGCTTGTGGAACAGGTAAGAAATATTTCATCCTGCAGCCTTTTCCTGTTCCTGGGCCCCTCAGTTTCATTTTCCCTGTGCTCCCAGGGCCACTTTTTAGAGACCATTCAGTATATAGTGCTTCTGCTCCTGATCTGAATCATAAACGCAGAGCAGTGTTGGAATTCAATTTCTTTTCAAAACCATTAGAAAACATAGCCCTACAGTGTCTTTGCATCCTTATGTATTGTCCCGGGTGTTATTTCAGATAGGGCCTATGATAGGAACAATAATAGGAGAGAAAGGACAGAAAACCCACACAATAAACAATGGGAAATGAAGCATGACGTGCACCTCCACCTCTGCACTGTGTATGTCACGGTGTGTATGTGT